TGTACAAGTTTCAGAATATAAATCTCTTTAAATGAGGAAAACATTGCACTTTTGCCAATCTAAAACTGCTTCTAGAAAGGTATTGTTCAGTGTCGTCGGCTTTGGTATGCAATGGAAGTCACTTCTTCAGTAGTGAGTTGCGTTTGCTCAGTAAAAGGAAAACACATTTGTGCCACACAGCATATGACAGGTGGAGTCTGTCTCAAGATGTCCTATGCTCCCTTGGTTCTTATGGTATTGCTACATATTGGCAGTTCTGCCATCCTCTTTAGAAAAAGTCCTACATGTAACAAGAGGGAGAACAGTCTGTCCAAGCCTTGTGAAGGCTGAGAAGACACTGAATGACGTCGCCCCAGCATGGCAGCACCGCCAGCTTGGAAACCATGGGGGACGGGAGGCTCCTGTCAGAGACTAGTGCCAGAAACACTGGAGTCTGGGAGAAAAGTAGTGAGGACTCGGTAACTCTGGGCCCTGCGAATCATGTCCCGGATCTCCATGTTCAGCTCCATCAGTTTGGTGCAAATTTCGGTCAGGCTCTGGTTTGATCCCACCAGTGCATATGTACCTGTCTGTCCCAGAGTCTGGTGACGGAAATAGATATTCAGTAGTGTCTGGACCTCATCATCAGAACTGCTTCCAAAGATGTCGTTGGGCCACAGACTTCTGCAGTCAAGAAAGAACAGCACAGATTAGAGACATTATTGGTTGGTTACAAAGTTGGGAAGTTATGAGTCTTCATTAGTATAAAAATGTTACTTAGAAGCTTTACTTTAGAAGTTGAGATGTTCTCATACCATGAAAGTCACCCAGCTACACTGTTTACAACTCCATCAATTGTGCAAATATCACTATACTAAGTTTTAGGATAATGTTTTTGATATTTAAAAAATATCAAAAGTTTAAAAATACCAGAGTGGAATCTGATACTCTTAAAAATCTTTCATTTGTTATGGCATTCTCATTCCAGTGAATGTGAAGACGATTTAAAAATGTAGGATGTAAAAACTCAAAAGTACATTCAGACTAAAATTATAGTTCTATATTACATAAGAATATACTTTGAAATGTATTTTAGGAACTACAAATGATCAGAATCAACATCAGTGTTTTCTGTGTAAGGTCTGAAAACCAGCATTGCAAGTAAGAAATAAGACAGGAGAAATACATAGAAATTCTTTCTATGTTGTTTGTCCCCAACCATAACAAAGTCCCCATTAGGTGTTCATTTCCTTTAACCATCTCTAAAAGAAACGGTAGAATGACCTGCATTCCCTGATTTGCCGTAGAGCTTTGCCAAGTTCGTTGTTCTTGAGGCACTCCAGCATGGACTGGATGGCTGCTTCAGTGGACGTGAAGGTTGGCTCAGACCAGGCTCCCTCTGTGTAAAGAGGGTCCGCAGCAATGGCTGCGGTGGCCTCCTTCAGATTTCTTTTCAGGTCACTCAGTTCCCTGGACATATTTAGTAGCTGTTAAAAACAAAAACAAACAAGCATGTATTTGGGTGTAGGCTGGGTTTTTCATTCCAAAATGAAAGAAAATTGGTTTAGCACAAGCTTGATATTTTGGCAAAGTAAAATCGACAGATGACACTGTACTACATGGGACACGTAAAGGATTGGGGCGGTTATAACCATCATAACTTTACATAACGACTGAGATTATTGCCTTAAGAGAGACTTCATTTCAAATGTTTTGTATTTAACTAGAAGGGGCATAAATGAGGAGGTAGAATCCACAACAAAAACATGAATAGGGAAGGTCTGGGTTCAAATGCCAACTCTGAAGGATAGTAGTCCTCCTTTATCTGCGGGGAATATACTGAAGAACACCTCAAAGATGACTTAACCCTACATATTATATTTTCTTACAAATACATATCTGTGATAAAGTTTGATTTGTCAATTACCATAGTAAGAAATTAAAAATAATAAAATGGAACAATGATAACAACATACCAAAGGTTATTTAAAACATAGGAATTATTTATTTCTGAAATTTCCTTCTGATATTTTCAGGTCACAGTTGACCATGAGCACAAACTGTGGAAAGTAAAACAAAGGGAGGAGAATGACTGTATAATGCTGGGGTTTGATATGATTTGTCCCCCTGAACTAATGCAGGAGTTTAGTCCCCAAAGTCTTATGTTAATGGTTTAAGAGGGTAGAAGAATCTGACTATGATATCCAGAGGTAGGGCGTTAGGGAAAGGATTAGATTAAATCATTAGGGTGGGGCCTTCCTAATT